AAGAAAGTGACACCACCTTTGAAAAAGCACAACCCAATATTGCATGTTTTGCACATGTACCTGGATCTATATCAGATTCACTATCTGAAAGCTATTCGTGTAGCACTTTCAGTGCTTCAAAAATGGTCAGCCCTCTCCGATCCCTTTGGAAAATTATTAAAAATCCGAAAAAAATAAACTAATATTATATCTACAATTAGAAATTATAAACTATAAAATAAAATTAAATAAACATCTACAACTCAAAACTATCAATCGCAGCACTAGCGAAACTTTGAACAAAAGCTAAAGAGAAAAACCAAACAGCTAACTGATAAAATTACCGTTGATCTTCAGAATATCACCCCAACAATTTGTCAGTTGATAACCAAACGGTCCCCCCCCCCCCAAAAAAAAGAGGGAAAGAGAGAAAAGAAGAAAGAGAAAAACAGGAAATGAAACACAGATGTGGACCCACATTTCTGTTGTCAATGAACTGACCGATGAGATGCGGAGAAACAAAGAATAGAGACTCTAAGTTGTCCTAGATTACTGGTAAGCCCAGTCTGGGCACACCTGGGGTTCGCTGTTTGATTTTAAGCAAGATTTCAAGGTAAAAATTTAAAACTAATATCGAATAAGGAGATTAGCATACAGTCAAAAAATAACATAGAAATTTCTTTTCAAACAATTCCTTTTACAACCTAAAAAAAATCTGGAAGATTTCTTTGAAAAATGAGGGTCTTAAAAAACTAAACATGGCTAAAATATATGGACCGGTCTGTGTTGAGCTGTCATCTACTATAAATAGAGAAGGTTCAGAATAACCTATAAATCCTTTTTCATTCAATTTTTCTTTGCATACAGAAGGAAATTTTTAGGTGTGCCACAAAGGGTTAACTATTCTTAAGAACTTAACAGAATAAAATCAGAAAAATTACCTAATTTATTGAGTAAAGCTGAATCACTAATTAAATTTTATGTATTTTAAAAAATTACTATAGTTTTAAAATTTAAAGCTATTCATTTGTATCAGTTCAATATACTTTCATCAAGGAAAATAAATAGGTTGGTACTTAATGCTACAAAACTCAATAAATGAAAATCATACTGATAACAGTAACATTTCAGTAATCACTCCCATGAAGGATTTAATTTTTTAAAATTAAAAAAAAAAAATAAATAAAAATAAATAAAACCATGACTCGAAATTATGAACTTTTTATCACAATGCTTTCTGTAAAAAACAGAGCCTTTTTAAAAATTAGTGTAAGAAATAAACTTCTTTATAACAACAGAGCTTATTTACAAACAAACAGGCATTCAGTATGAAGTTAGTGCTTTAAACATTATCAAAAAATTAGAATTTTTTAATACTAAAAGAAAATTTAAAGAAAAATCAGCAATAAAAATAAAGATTTAAAAGTCAATCTTTTAGTTTAAATTCTCTCTTTTCAGTTGTATTCCTTTAAATACACACACACACACACACACACACACACACACCACACACACACACACAAAAAAAAAAAAAAAAAAAAAAAAAAAAAAAAAAAAAAAACTCGGATTTTTTTAAATTTACATTTAAATATTTGTTTCGATTGTTAGTCTTTCACCATTCAAAATTCTTAACAAATCATACTTGTACAACAGATATTGTTTGAATAAAGAAGCATTAAAAATAAATAAATATAAACTACAAAAATGAAAGTTAATAAAATTTTAAAGGTTAATTTCTTAATTCTTCATAATAAATAAAAAATATGATATTGATGATCAAAGGATTTTCTTTTTGAATACAAATGAAAATATGTTTTAATGATATTAAACGGAATACACCTTTAAAAAAGAATACTAGTGCTGAAGTAGCTGTATTACATATTCACTAAGCAACTATTGCACAATATACAATTGCTTATTCAACTATATTCCTGCAAAGTTCTTCAAATCAATAAATAACATTTCATGGACAATTACTTATTTAATATTTTCATTTTAAGAGAGTGTTATTTAACAAAGTTTTCATTTTCAAATTCTTGATATAGTGATAATACAAGATAGATAGTAAGGGCAAATAAAAATCAGTGGCGATATTTTAATGCTTGCTTTTTACTATAAAACTATACAGATAAGGTTGATTGTTGATTAATAGACCAAGGCAAAGCATGCGAGAGACATCTGCCTCACTTGCTTTGCTTAAATCAATAAACCAAGCAAGAACAGGGATTCTTTCATGAACTCTCTGCCACCTATGCCTTCATGGAGGATTTCCCAGGTGGAATTAGCTTGTATTCTAGTTATATATGGGATAACCATGAAAACCAATCACGCAGCCAGCCTGTTCACCCAAGATGCCACCCAGACGGTGTAGTAGTTAGTGACCCTTACTGTTGTAGTGAAGAGCCCAGATTCAAATCCTGGAGAAGGTATGGATGTTTGGCAGCATACAGGGTCTGCATGACAAGAGGGCACTCTAAATACAAGACAAGCCGAATTTACCTCAAGAGGATGCTGGTGAGGAAAGAGGGGTGAGACCCTCAAACTGGCTCTCTCAAGTGCTATCTATCAAAATTCAAAATTGGACTGGAAGTTTACCAGTTAGGTTCAACAATACCTTATATGGCTAGCTTCTACCTACACCTGTTCATCTGACATTGATCCTGGGTTGAGCTTTTATCATTCAGAGGTCTTAGCCACTCAGTTATTTTCATGAAGGACTTTCTAAAGAAATGTATTATCTGGTCATGACATTTAGATTTAGCCAGATCATTTGCTGGAATTCTAGATCAGTGAGGAGTGGATTATTTAATTAGGAAAATGCATACAAGTATTATCTGCTAATTTTCAAACCAGTTTTGTTCAAAAGTGTCCTGGTGGATGAAAATCCAATCATCTAGAGAACTTTTAGAACAGATATTCAGAAATCTCTATATGATTAGATTTCTATTATAAATGTTGTGAGTGTTCTCATTCCTACATACATTCTTGCTAACGATTTTAAGAGATTTTAAGTGTTCTCATCCCTGCAATGGTAACTTCCTTGTATTATCCAGAATCTGAGCCCAGTGGCTTGACATTTAGATAGGCTGTGCTAATCATTTCAACGAGACAACTTTACATAGGTAAGAACCTCATGTAGAAAATAAATATTATAGAACAGTTACAATACGGAATTTTTCAAGTATAACTGAAAACATAAGAGAACTACAATATTAAAAATGGAAAAATATAAAAGGAAATATTTGATTCCTACTCTACTGATTTTTGATAACAATTTTTCAAAGTTTTGTTTTCTTTTAGTGCAGAAGATTAAATGCCTGTTACTTATAATTAACGCATATTTGCAGTTTTCACATGCAGTAACATATTGATAATAGCATCCTTATATTTCTGTTATGTGACTACATGTTACAGCATATATAACAGTATTCTGTTTATTACACATTTAATGCTGTTCAATTTTGCTTTCCTTTGACAATTTTTTTTCCATTTCCTTTTACTACTTTTTTTTTTCCCATTTCCATTTCCTTTTATACTGTTCAACTTTGTTCTGCATAATCTCAGTTTTCATATGTTAAGAGCTATTAGCATATACACATCACATTTTCTAGATACTCACATTTACTTTTTGACAGTAACATTGAGGGGGGATTCCTATTTACAGATTTAAAAGGTTCTGCCCACATTTCACGGATGTGAAGTGCAATTGTCAATAACTATAAGGAAGTTACATTTTCTTGATAGCATCATCTCTGGTTATAATTTTGTACTATTTTTAAAATATATTGTTGTGTGCATACGGGTTCATAATAGATTGAATGCACGCAAAACCGATGATAGCTTGATAAAATTAATTTTATCAACAGTAACACTTCACAGAATTTTCCACAAAAATACTTGTATCCAGATCTTTACAGTATCACACAGTACAATCAGTAACTACACTTCAAACTGTTGGTATGTACGAGGGCCATCCAGGAAGTAGATTACGTTTCCGTCTGTGTCCGCTAGGGGCGGGGCTAGCGCGGCCATCTTGGGGTCAGAGAGTTGCGCAGCTCAGTCTGCATCTAGCCGTGCTAGTGAGAGGTTCGTGCTGTGCTCCGTTCAGATACTGTGACGGTTTGAAATGTCTGCGTTAATTGAAAATCCCGCGAGCTGCGAGGTGCGCTCAGTAATAAGGTTTCTGACTGCAAAAAACTGTAAACCGATAGAAATCTATCGGCAGCTTCGTGAAGTGTATGGGGACAACATTATCACTGAAGGTGGAGTGCGTCAGTGGGTCATAAGATTTCAAAATGACCGAACCAATGTTCGCGACGAAGATCGAAGTGGGAGACCCAGCATAGTGACCGCCGAACTTCTCGAAAAAGTCGATGCTAAAGTCCGTGAAAATCGAAATTTCACAATAACGGAACTTTCTTTGAGTTTTCCACAAATTTCGCGAAGTTTGTTGCACGAAATCATCAGCGAAAAGCTTGGTTACCACAAGTTTTGTGCAAGATGGATTCCAAAAATCTTGACAGAGGACCACAAAAATCAGCGAATGGCTGCAGCGTTGAACTTTTTGGACGCTTACCATAAGGATGGTGACTCTTTACTCGATCGCATCGTTACTGGTGACGAAACATGGGTGACCTATTCCCTATTCCCAGCAATGAAGAAGTGGCTGGCTATGCAGCGTTTTGATGACGACGCACAGCTGCAAGAAGAGGTAACGAAGTGGTTGAAGGCGCAGGCGGCCGAATTTTTCGACGAAGGAATTTCCAAGCTCGTACATCGCTACGATAAATGCCTTAATTTGTATGGTGACTATGTAGAAAAGTAGTATTTGAGTGTGGCTTTCATCTGTATATAATAAAATTTGTTTCCTATACTTTGTTTATTTTTTTATTCCAAAACGTAATCTACTTTCTGGATAGCCCTCGTATATAGTGATGGACTGTCGCCAATAGCACGATAAACTGTATGAACTAGAAACCCTGCAAAAGAGTTAACTGTGTAACTCTCTTAGTCTTTACACTTACTTTTCTCAAGGCCGCGAGTTTGACATCCTTGTCGTACATCAATCATCCAAGAGTTTTATTTTCGACATCAGAGCAAGTAATCACCTGGTAAATAATAAGAAATATTTCACGGAATGTAAACCCATAAATCCGTCAGATATTATAACTGCGAATGGGCAATGTATTAAATCAACGGCGATAGGAACTGTCCGTTTTAAAACATTAAATGCTAAACAAAAAATAACTGAAGTTCTCTTATCGGAAGTTTTATACACTCCTGAATTAGAAACGAATTTAATCTCAATTAAGAAAATAACAGAAAAAGGACTTTCAGTTCTGTTTGAAGGAAATAAATGTATGATCATGAAAGGAGATCAGATTATTCTAGAATGTCATGCAACTAATAATCTTTACCAAATTAAACCAATAGACAGGAATAATGAACCATCAGCTCATGTAGCATTTCAGTGCAAAAATGAGAACTGTGTTCAACTTTGGCATAGACGCCTTGGTCCCAGAAACGATGACACAATCAAGCAACTTGTAAACAAAGAACTCGCTGAAGGAATTAAACTAGATAATTGTAAACATGATACAAAATGCATTCAGTGCATAAAATGTAAACTAACTGATTTCCCGTATCCCAAAGAATCGAAATTCAGAGCATCTAAACCGCTAGAACTCGTTCACACTGATGTTTTAAGGACCAGTACAAACACTGTCTGTCAGTGAATACCTATACTTTGTAACTTTTATTGATGATTACAGCAGGTTCACAATGATTTACCTAATGAAAAAGAAAAATGAAGTAATTTCTAAACTAAAACAATTTATTGCTCTTACAAACAATAAATTCGGGAGAAAGGTAAAAACGCTAAGAAGTGATAACGGTGGTGAGTGCACAAGTAAGGAACTTGAAGAATATTTTATAAAACATGGTATAAATCACCAGCTTACTGTACCATATTGTCCAGCACAAAATGGAGCATGTGAGCGCAAAAATAGGTCTTTGATGGAGATAACAAGATGTCTTTTAGCTGACTCAGGTCAACCTCACAGATACTGGGCTGAAGCAGTGCTGACTGCAAATTATTTACAGAATTGTATGCCTACAAAACCAAATGCAAAAACTCCATACGAATTATGGAATAACAAGAAACCCAACCTCTCTCCTCTGAGGACTTTCGGGTGCAAGGCTTTTGCTTACATCCATAAATCTAAAAGAGGTAAATTGGATGATACTGCTATAGAAGGAATACTCGTCGGCTTCAACAGCAATGAGCCCGTAAGCATCTGTATAAACCAGGATGAAGAAAATTCTAAGGAAGAAAGCTCAAAACGGGAAGAAATAAAATTGGAAGACCCCGAAGAGGAAGAAATATCAGAACACGAAGAAGAACCTTTGGAACTCAGAAGATCGAACAGACTCACAAAAGGTAAACCTCCTGATCGCTACGGATTCCATGCCAAATATCAAATCTCCTCCGAACCCAAAACTTGGAAGGAAATTCAAAGTTTGGAAGAAAAAAAAAAAAAAAAAAAAAAGGCACGCTAACAGCTGTTCAAGAAGAAATTAATTCACTAGAAGAAAACAACACTTGGGAATTAGTTGATTTACCAAAAGGAAGAAAACCAATAGGATGCAAATGGTCTTTCAAGACAAAGCTTAATGCAGAAGGAAAAATTGAAAGATACAAAGCCGGATTAGTCGCAAAAGGATTTAGCCAGAAGTTTGAATCTGACTATGATGAAACCTTTGCTCCTGTAGTAAAATACACAACGCTACGAGCCTTCGTGTGTGCAGCTTCGTATAAAAACATGTCTGTCAGACATATCGATGTCAAAACAGCTTTCCTTCATGGAGAACTAGAAGAAGAAATTTACATGACTCAACCCGAAGTATACTCAAAAGCTGGAAATGAAAATAAAGTTTGCAAGCTGAAGAAATCTATATATGGTTTAAAACAAGCCGCTAGAGCTTGGAATCTGAAAATTGGAAAAATACTTCTAAACATGTCATTTAAACAAAGTAAAGCAGACCCGTGCTTGTTTTACAAAAACATCAATGGAAAATTCACGTATATAATATTATATGTAGATGATATGCTTGTAGGAAGTGAAAGAGAAGAGGATGTAATGGAAACAATCCAACAATTGAACGCTAAATTCGAAATCAAAAACCTAGGAGAAGTCACCTACTACCTCGGCATAAACATTGAAAGATTTAAGGATGGAACTTTTGCCAAAAACCAAAAGAATAAAATCGAAGAAATTGTTCACAAGTTTGGACTTCAGAATGAAAAACCAACATATACGCCAATGGAAACAAATTACTGCAAACTAGAAGCTGAAGATGATCTTCTAGAGGATAATACAGAATATAGACAAGCAAGTAGGGGCATTATTATATATTGCAACAATCAGCAGACCAGATATAGCATGTGCAGTCAATCTACTGAGTAGAAGAAACGAAAAACCTCGGAACACAGATTGGAATGCTGTCAAGAAAGTCATTCGATATTTGCACACAACTAAAGACTTTAAGTTGGTCTTTAACAGAATACAAGAACCTATACTAACTGCATATTCGGATGCAGATTGGGCAAATGACAGAACAACAAGAAAATCCATTAGCGGATACATATTCAAACTAGGAAATAACTGCATTTCATGGAGCAGCAAACGTCAAAACTGCATTGCACTATCTTCAACTGAAGCAGAATATATTGCGGCAGCTAATACAGCACAAGAAGCACAATGGCTGTTAAATTTGCTTAAAGATCTAGGACTAAAACAAAATATGCCGATTACTCTCTATGAAGATAACAAATCATGCATCAAACTATCACAAACAGAGAAAAATAGCTCCAGAACAAAGCATATAGGTGTGAAATACCACTACTTGCGTGAACTTCAACAAAACGGGATCCTCAGCCTAGACTATTGCAGAAGCTCTGACATGATTGCGGATCTACTCACCAAATCACTAGGCAAACCTGTGTTCGAGAAACTTCGAAAATCGCTGCAAATGGCGATCCTGCCCATCAAGTAGGGGTGTTGGTATGCATATAGTGATAGACTGTCGCCAACAGCACGATAAACTGTATGAACTAGAAACCCTGCAAAAGAGTTAACAGTGTAACTCTCTTATTCTTTACACTTACTTTTCTCACTCCTTCAGTAAAGGACAGTGACACTCTCTATAATATAACTCCCTTTTTTTCAATATGTATTTGGAATACTAACGAATTTTTATCAATTTCTCATGTATTAATAAAGAATGTGTTTTGTGATCTTACAATTTCCATCTACACCTATTTTGGATTACAAGTTAATGAGGTATGATCTCGCTTGATGCTGCACTGGATAGAAGGTAAGAAGAATCATTTTACTCTCTATTTTTTTATTAATTTGTTGTGAAATTTTGAGGCTATAAAAATGTTTTACAACACAAACTACTAAGAACCTTAAACACAAGACAATGCAAAGTACATCCAAAAGCCGAAGCTCTCTTGAATACCTCAATACTTTGATTTCAGATCTGAACTAACAATTGAGAAACTGATGCTCTCTCTGGTCTTATAAAGTTTTCCACTAGCCACCAAAAATTCTCTAGCATTTTCTGCTTCTTGAAATATGAGGGCCAGTGTGGTTACAGTTAATATAGGAATCAATTACAGATATTCAATTACAATATCCATTACAATTACACAGGGACTGGACCATAATGTCACCAAATGCTCGCCAAGTTTGGCAATTTCTTGCTAAATAAGCAAGATAGTCATTTACTCAATGTTAAATAGACTTACCCCTGTATTCTTATTTTTCTGGCAGAGCATCATTTCTCTCAAGCTTTTCATGTTATTGGGTTGGAGGGAAAGTTCTGTCGTATTTTAAAGAAAATATTTGAATTCATTTATAAAATATGTGTTTAATATTAATCAATTATATATGCTCCGTTATTTGTTACAACCTGTTGCCATCTTCCAGGTAACCTGTAAATTCCTGTTTTGTAGAAGTTCTCATCCATGGAGTTAAAATAGTCAGCAACTGCCTTAGAAACACTTTCAAAGACTTGAATTTTTTTCCCGTTAGATAATTTTGCAGAGATCTGAAACAGGTAATAATCAGAGGGTGCAATGTCAGGTGAATACGGGGGGTGACTAAGGATTTCCCATCCTAACGCATTCAGTTTTTGTAGTGTCACCACTGCAGTATGCGGGCGAGCATTATCGTGATGGAACAATATTCCTTTTCTGGACGCTAATGCTGGCCTTTTTTCTTTGATAGCTGCATTCAATTTATCCAGCTGATTGCAGTACATATCCGCGTTGATGTTTTTTCCCTGTTTCAGCAACTCGTAATACACTGGACCTTTCCTGTCCCACCACAAACAAAGCAGTACTTTTCGTTGATGGATACTTGGTTTTGGAACTGTTGCTGATGATGTTCCTGGTTTGCAGTAAGATTTTTTCTTTTAATATTCTCGTAAAGAATCCACTTTTCATCTCCAGTAACCAGCCTGTCCAAAAAACGGCTCCACATTGTGTCTAATCAGATGTGATGAACATATTCTTACACGATCAGACAAATTCTTTTCCGTTAATTCATGTGGAACCCAAATACTTTGCTTTTAACACAAACCCAAGAGATTAATGTGATCTCCAACAGTTGTATGATGAATGCCAAACTCTTCTGCAATTTCTCGACTTGTTAAATGTGGATTATTTTCCAACATGGATCGCAAAACATCATTATCGATCTTGGATGGTCGTCCAGATCGAACACTTCCTTTGAGGCTTAGGTCCCCGGAACGAAATTTGCTAAACCATCTTTGACAAGTACGAACATTTACAATGTCTTTTCCAAATACCGCACATAAATTTTTACATGCAACCAGATGCGTTGCTTCCATTTTGGAATTCATATAAAATGCAGTGTCGTAAATGCACTTTATTCTACCGACATGTTTTTTTCACTTTAAATATTACAAGTAAATGATGAACGGTAAGAAAGAAGGGCACCTTTTTATATTATACAGCAGCTGAAAAATAAAAAAAAAAAAAAAAAAAAAATCCGATTGACTCACTAGCCAGATGTTTTTTTTATTTACAAGAAAAATCACCTGCCTATTTAAAATACGACAGAACTTTCCCTCCAACCCGATACATTATACAGAAAATTGCAACAATTTCACATAAAATGTTACCGAAATTATCCATGTATGTACAAAATTTGTAACCATATCCTATTTTATCAAAAGGTTTTCACATTTTACAAGGGTGCAGGCAAAGGTTAACAATTTTAAAATAGCACAGACTTGGAGATTTTTCCTAATGCAAAGATGAGAAAGGATTTTAGTTCTGCTGAAAAGCATTGAGGTCTAATTATACTTACATCTATCCACTTTTTCATTTTCGGAAAAAAATCAGTTAGCTGTTTCTTAGAAAAAAGCTCACCTTTAACACCATCCAAGCTTAAAAAAAGTCACTACAGCATGACTTTTGATTTTTGATGCTAACTGATATATTGTTATGCTAAGAGAAAAACTTCATTAGGGTTATGCAGTGATGGGCTATAAATATTTTAACAAAGAGCTCACATTTTATGTTATAAAACATAATATCAAACTTTAATTAAATATTTTAATTTTTAACAAAACAGAAAATACAAATAATTATGCCTGTCTCCAAAAACTACATAAAAAAAGACTATAAAATTTTAAAAATAATCACCAAATTATACTAAGTGATGGGCAAATTTAATTATGCTACACTTATGTCAGACGCTGTTACATATATTTTCTTTTGTTTTTCACATCAGTTGATCTTTAGCAGTTCGTTACTTTAAAATAAGAACTTCACAGTTATTTTCTGTTGTCCAACTTCTCTTATAACTATGGGAAAGGCAGTCATAGCAGACAATTTGATTCACCTAATTTTTTACTCCATTTCCATTTAGCATGTTTCACTTCACAAAGGCTCGTTGAAATATAAACTTAAATGAGGTGAAGAAAATAAGTACTGAATGGTGATGATGACACATAACAAGTTTGTACATCAGAAAGGCTGGCAACAGCCTTAAAGTGTTTGGTTTATAGTAACAGGCTATAGAAATGTTTCAAAAACAAGTGTTGATTTTTTTCAAAAATGTTTTTATGTGAGGTCGAGGATTAAATTCATTTCAAAATTTTCTATTTAAGGAAAGAGTTCTTATAAATTTATTGCACAGTCAAAGAAGATCAAAGATCTTCATTTGCTGAAATAATTTGAAAGGCAACAAAAAATTTATTGAAAATAGATGGAATTATTTAGCATCTGTTTTTATTTTAGTTTGTCTACAATGTATTTGACCGAATTTTCATGAAACGAGATGAGACTCGTAATTCTCAGAAGAAGAAAGACTACAAGTCAAAGTATGATAATGATATACACAAAACATAAAATTTTTCTTGGAATAAATAAATAAGCAAAGAAAAGGAACATAAGGCTCACAAATTAGAGACAAATTTAGCAATGAACTCACAAGAACTGCCCAAAGTTTACCACTCGAGTTATAGAAAATTATTTGGGAATTCTTTATTGGTCATGTATCAAGAATTGTAATAACATGCATCAACAGCAAAATTAAATTTGAAATTAAAGAATGCATTGATTTGGAAATAAAATATGCAAATATTTTAGATAAACAAATCACTAACATTAAAATTCAGAGCCAAGGAGTAATTGTTTTGTCATTCCAAATGAATTGTCCTCGGGGTGAATTGATATTTGGTGGCAAAAGTGCACAATAAGTTGGAGCTTCAGCACCTGCAAAATACGTCTGTATTAGTTAAAAAAATAAATAAATAAATAAATAAAGTATAGCAATGGTATAAAAATACAAGTTCAAAATTAATTGTAAACAAAACACTGAATTTAAAGACTTACTTTTAGGAGCAAGATTAGTGCTTAAATAGACACTTAAGCTTTGAATGTTTAGAATGTCAAGCCTGTTTTTCAAATTATGTGAGTTTTAACTGAGTAGTTAAAATACAGAAAAAGAGAATGGTTACATTGCTTAGTACTTTGAAATTCAATGCAAAAGCAAAGAAAGTTAGATCTTTCTTTAAAAGACCATTCCTTGGAGTTCCATATGACATTCTGAGAATGTACAGAAAAAGGAAATTCAAGTATTAACATCGTCTCTTATTATATTGATACCAGCTGGGTGAACAGGCTCTGGAATTTGAATTGTTTCATTAAAAGAAAACAACAGGATGAAAATACAAGTTGAAAATGACAAAGCAAGAGAAATTCTTTTTGAAATAGTGACACGAAAAACTAAGTATATGTAATTGAGATATCCTGATACTTTAGAAGGTAGTGTGATTAATGGAATGATGTGTTATCCAGGTGATGGCTTAAAATGTTTCTTAAAAATTATATTTTATAAACAGATTTTGTCCTCTCAACAAATACATGTCTGTACATAATTTCACAGAAAAATCAGAAACAAAACACAGCAAACAAATAACTGTCATCTTTTTATTTGATCTAATTATAAGATATGCCTTTATAAATTATGCATTCGTTTTTACAAAATAAATACATGTGTATGAAATGAGTTGTAGTGAGATAGCAAATCAGTCCCTTCAGGATTTTGTAGAAAGATTAGGTTTTTACTTCCTTGTACGAAGTAAATAGGAAGTATTGTAATCGCGAAAAGTTTCAGGCAACATATTTCAACGAAAATATCCATTTTGACCGCTATCGAATGCAATTTAACGATGTTTTTTCGTTATATCTGTATGTAAGGACAAATTAAAAGACTCTTTCCCTCCAAAAAAAATTCTAAAACTGCTTTAAAATTAATTCTGAAGAGAATTTTTCGTGGCATCTGTAAGAACGTACGTATCTCACATAACTCGAAAACGATTAGCCTCAGAACGTTGAAATTTTGTATATAGGACTGCTATAACATGTAGATGTGCACCTCGTATTTTGGTTGCAATCGGCCGCGCCAAACATATATAAATATATTTATATATATATCCACTCTGTTACCAGGCTCAGTGATCTCAGTTTCTTTACTCTTATATGTTTGTAAATTGTATATTTTTTGCTTTAAAAATGATTGTATTATGTTGTTAAAGGTTTTTATGCCTTTCATAATTCTGGAAGCAATATTTGTACAATTATCAACAATTTAAAAGCTGTTTAAGTGCGGTTAAGTTTTAAATAACATGGCAGACATATTTGTTTACATTTGAAACAGCAGAATTGTAGATTTGTTGCCAATCTAGAGAGACTAAACTTCGCAACACACAAATAATGCTTTTATTTATTATTGCGAATTAAATCATGCTTAATACTTTCTGGAATTTTTTCGAGGAAATAAGTGTTTAAGATTTACTTCGTAATTTTTAATGCAGATATTTGAGTTTTTATGTATTTTTGCCTTGTCGCGAAGTGAGAACTGAATTAATTGAATGAGAAATACTAAATTGTCTGTGAAAAACTGTTTCTTTTCTGTTTTGTTTGCTTAATTTCTTTCATACATCGTTTTAGTTTTATTATAGTATTTGAATAGAACATGTGGCAACGATAATTCTTCAAATGATATAAATTGTGTGCATTCAGAGTGTCGTTATACAGTCAGAAGTCGTTAATCCGGACTCGTCGGGACTTCGGCGATTCCAGATTATAGATCATCAGTTTAAATCTGGTAAGATGGCATGCAGAAATTATAAAATTAAAAATATGAAACCGTGATTAATGAAAAAAAGAACAATTATGATCTAAAGGGTATCAAAATTTACAAAAAAAGCTTCATATTTATTTGTTTACTTTATTAATAAACATTTCTTTCAATGTAAGTTGTTTAAGTTGCTTCGTTTTTTATGTGATAATACTTTCTCTTTAATTCTATAAACAGACATAATTTCTTGTTCAGTTACAAAGTTCCGCTGTTCAAGTCCTATAATTGCTGTGTCGTGAATACCAACTAATTCGTCAATCAAAATTTTTTCGTTTTTAATAACATCTGTGTCACTTTCTTCGCTATCGGAAGCGAATTATAATGACGAGGAATTTGATTTAAATCATATCAAAGACGGAGTACATCGAGATAAAATACTACATTTAGTAAGGAATTATAAGCCAAATAAAATAAAAAAATCTGCCCTGAAGATAAGGATAGTGCTGACAGATCAACTTCCAATTCATCGCGCACTGAGGCGTCCCCCCTCCCCCGCCGCAGATCAGCATGAAATTGATAAACAGATTTCGGAATGGTTAAATAAACACAGGATATGCCTTTATCCATTTTTTGCAGCAATTCCACTGTTTGTTTAATGGACTTCGAAACATACTTTCGCTTTGTAGATCTTTTACATATTAGTAAATATATATCAGAAATTCTATTTGACATAATCGAAAGTTCAAGCTTACTTTTATAAAATTGCTCTAACAGTCTGCAAAAAATAATAAGCCAGATCCAATTCGAAGATTAAGGAACAACGCAATCTGCAACATTAACTGAATTAGATAATTTTTACCTTATACTGTCCGTTATACATTAAACGCGCATTCGTAAACGTATTTTGTGCATGTGCAGACCTATATTCGCAGACATAAAGGTCGTACGCGCATGCGTCAACGCGACACATGCGCAGAAAGTTTGTAGCTTTGAGGTCCGGATTATGGGTGTCCGAATTAATGACTTTTGACTGTAGTACACAAATATAGTGAATTTTAAAGAGTGCATTTATTCTATTGTGGTTTATGCGCTGTCGACAAAGTAGATTTAATTCAATCCAATCAAGTTAAATGAAATTCAAGAAAAAAATGTGTGTAATTTAATATTCCGTACAAGGAAGTCATGTGGTGTGTACACATCAGATTTTTTTTTTTTTTTTTTTTGGAAGCAGAAGAGATGAAAACTGAGCAATGCACTTGCTGGGGCTCAAACCACGGACCTCTCGAATATGTGCCAAGAGTGTTGACCACTACACCACGAAGGCAGGAGGAATACCTTATATACTCCCCCCCTTTTAAAGGGTGACTGGAGATAAAGAGACCCAACTGCCAAATCCTGGTGGTGGAGAATCATCATCCACCATCTTTTTTATTTTGGGCACCACTGTAGAGACATTAGGATATTTCGAAGCAGGAGACATGAAAAATGAGCAACGCTCTCGCCGGGACTTGAACCATGGACCTCTTGAATATGCGCCAAGTGTGCTGACCACTACACCACAAAGGTATGCTAAGAAGGCGGGAGAAATACCTTATAACTTTATCACTTTTCTATCCTCACCTACGAGTGTCGACCATTGTGTAATGTGGATTTATCACATCAATTATGATTGAACCCTTCTTCTTTGAGGAAATGTGTGGTTCTGCTATTCAAACTGTCAGTATGACAGGTTCAAGTGATTCTGACTTGTTACGGAACCGCATCAGCCTTAGTCTGGTTGATAAACAACCGTCGGAAGATATGACTTTTATGTAGGATGGCATTCCACCTCATATTGCTACACGTGTGAAAGATCTCTTGCACACATCATTTGGTAAGGATCACTTGCTGAGAAGCCATTTCCATCATGCTTGGCCTCTCAGTCCAAAAATTTTCCTGGGCCCCTTTCCCAATAAATTTAATGTGTTTAAAAAAAAAAATCAAGGATTCCAGGAGACAATGTTTTGATGATGATTTTTATCACATCTGGATTAATTGTTAAAAAATAAAAGCACGTTCTTAGGGAACCAGTTGAAAGGTACGTAACATGAAGAAAGAATAAAAAGGAAAATAATTTCCCTTTGACAAACTGGTAAAATGAAAATTTGCTTTAGTCTGGGTCTTTGATGTCAGATGATTTTAATTCAGTTTACTTAAGACTACTTAAGACTTTTTGTGTGAGTGCAAGAGACAGATTTTTCTCTCCTTTCACTGAGATGCATACTGATAATAAATGAATATGTCGATATAAAAAAAGGAACATGTTGACGTATAGCATTAAGAAAAGGAAGAAAGCCTAGATTTCCAGAGATTTTTATATAAAATCCAAGAAGTTTTACATACTAATGTTTTAAATTTTTATATAAAATCTGCGCCTATCTAAGTTTTTCTGCTTAAGTTAGCAAACTTATAAATAATTAGTTATATTATAAACTGACAGACAAGATAATTGATAAACGTACAGAAAAGCTATTACATTAATGTATAGTACTCTGTGATTTACTCAGCTTACGAACATGATTTATGCAATAATATACAAATAATAAATAAGAACTTTTATAATGTAAATGATACATTTGTTAAATATGAAACATATTTATCATAAACTTCATAAAGAAAACTATTTGAACATACAATTTTTTTAGAAAATATGTATTGTACAGTTTTTTCCGTCTTTTTAAAAAACCTTTTGGTACATTAAACTACTTGAATACATGATTTTTATAAAAAATATGAATGCTAAAGGTTTTTACTGTTTCCTTTTAATTTTCCTCAGTCCGTACTGCTCTTCTTCTCTAATTTTTTCCTCCCTCAATAAGTGTAATGATAACATTGGTGGCCAAAATTCATAATAAAGAAAAAAAATCCTTCTTTTAAAATTTGTGTCTCCTAACCTTCATTTCCTCAAAATTATTTATCAATACTTGGACGTCCATTTTCTCAGCCATCTCAGCTTCAACGCTCAATAATGAAAGGTTTGACAACCGATCTTGTGTCATACTGTTACTTAAATACGTTTTTATTATTTTCAGTATTGAAAATGACCTCTCACTCATGGCTGTGGTTACAGGTAATGATAAATACAATATAA